ACCAGCCCCGGGCCTCATCACACATTGTCCTGTCTCATACTATTGCCTCACGTTAGAATTCCTTCACAGGGATTATTGCAGGGGACCACACCTATCCTTACTTTTGCTATTTGCAAACACTAGGCCGTTTTAAACTACTACTACCACTTCTTTTTTTTTTAAAGGAGTTTACATAAAATCTGTTGTTTTATTTTTTTTCGGCCCCCTTTCTATTAACTAAAATAGTTTTTAAGCTTGACTATCATAAAATTCCCTTAATAAAGGAATCAGGGGGCCAGAGGTTACTGAACGTTTGGCTTAAATATTCCTTTGCTTCCAGACAAAAATCATAGCTGAAGCATGACAGGTAAATATCTGTTCAATTTGTCAAACTCCTCAGGGACAGTAATTACTTAGTTTCCTCAGGGATTATCCTTCCTGTCAGTATATTTCTCATAAATATTGGACAAATTCTTCCTCCTATAGTTTAAGGCTAGGTTTTTTTTTTTGAGATGGAGTCTTACTCTGTTGCCCAGGCTGGAGTGCAGTGGCATGATCTTGGCTCACCACAGCCTTTGGCTCACCGCAGCCTTCACCTCCCAGGTTCAAGTGATTCTCCTGCCTCAGCCTCCCGAGTAGTTGGGACTACAGGCCCGTGCCACCATGCCCAGCTAATTTTTACAGTTTTGGTAGAGATGGGGTTTCACTTTGTTGGCTAGGCTAGTCTCGAACACCTGATCTAGTAATCTGCCTGCCTCAGCCTCCCAAAGTGATGGGATTAACAGGTGTGAGCTAGTGTACCTGGCCCGGCTGTTTTTTTTCCCTTCCCTGCCAGGATTGACCCAGCATTGCACATTTGGTCAGCATTATGCATATGTGAAAATGTACATTGTTCTAGACTTCCGTCACTTCCGGTTTGCTCTTCTCTTTCTTAATTATGGAAACGTATCCTTGTGGGTTGATACATCAGTCTTTCTGCCACACCCAGTAAGGAGGATTCCTGCCCTTGGTCTGGGGTCCAAATCAACTGTGTAGCCCGTGAATCTCTGTCTTCAGTCCCACCGGTGTCTACTGAGTGCTTATGAGAACTTCCACGTGCCAGGCCTTGAGTGCACAGAGTCCGGGCAAGAATGGAGACTCCTGTGGTTTTTGAAATATCCCACGAAATAAAAAAATGAAGCTATTCAATTGCAAATGTAATAAGATGAGTTTAGGTTCTAACCCGGGGCAGAAACTTCTACCTGGGAGCCATTCTGCGGCTGTGAATTCTGGCTGTGTGTGTGTCCTGAGCAGCGGACACAGCCGGCCACCCGACCGCAGTTTTGTCCGCTGGTGTTGGTGAGCTCAGGGCCTGTGCTGTGTGTGCTGGAGCTCAGGAGGGCTGATAAAGAGAGGTGGCTGCGGAGTGAGTGGTCAGGAGCCTGTCCCTTCAGTGTCATGGCTGAACCTTGGTCCTTACCAAAGGAAACAAATGAAGGCTCGCTCTGACGCACTCACTGTGACAGTCTGCGTGGCAGCAGCCAAGAGCTTCTCTGGCCATTTGTGGTTCCCTCAGTTAAAAAATAAAAAGGTAGCTAAGGTATAGCAACAGCTCAGGTTTTGAACTTTATTTATTTATTATTATTATTATTATCATCATCATTTTTGAGACAGAGTTGACAGAGTCTTGCTGTGTCTGTCACCCAAGCTGGAGTGCAGTGGCTTGATCTCAGCTCACAGCAACCTCCGCCTCCCGATTCAAGCAATTCTCCCACCTTGGGCTCCCAAGTAGCTGGGATCACAGGTGTGTGCCACCACACTCGGCGAATTTTTTGGTCTTTTTAGTAGAGACGGGGTTTCACCATGTCGGCTGGGCTGGTACCGAACTCCTGGGCTCAGATCCATCTGCCTGGGCCTCCTGAAGTGCTGCGATTATAGGCTTGAGCCACCATGCCTGGTCAGGTTTTGAACTTTTTTTGTTTTTTGAGACAGAGTTTCGCTCTTGTTGCCCAGGCTACAGTGCAATGGTGCGATCTCAGCGCATCGCAACCTCTGCCTCCCAGGTTCAAGCCATTCTCCTGCCTCAGCCTCCCAAGTAGCTGGGATTACAGGCATGCATCACCATGCCTGGCTAATTTTGTATTTTTAGTAGAGACAGGGTTTCTCCATGTTGGTCAGGCTGGTCTCAAACTCTTGATCTCAGGTGATCTGCCTGCCTCGGCTCCTAGTGCTGGGATTACAGGCATGAGCCACCATGCCCCGCTGGTTTTGAACTTTTAAAAGGTGGGGTTCTTGTGGACCAGCCCATATGTGTGATGGGGCCAGGTTCTAGTGGCAGGTCTACCAGTTGCTATCCCTTTTTCAGATGTGTGGCACAGTGGCTTACTGAAACGTGGGGGGGCAGTAGCATAGCAGGCACCTTCTTGGTCCTCATCAATTAGAGGCTGAGCTGTTGGATTTCCTGCTGATGGCCAAGTGGAAAATCTATTTGACTTTTTTATTTTTAATTTAAAATGTATCTGCACGAATAGACTCAGGCAGGAGGTTTGTCTTTGGCTTTGTTGGAGGAACTGAGCTCCAGTGTCATTGCGTCTCCTCTTTAATTTGACTAACTTTAAATGTCACCACTGAGGCCGGGCGCAGTGGCTCATGCCTGTAATCCCAGCACTTTGGGAGGCCGAGGCCGGTGGATCACCTGAGGTCAGGAGTTTGAGACCAGCCTGGCCAACATGGTGAAACCGTCCCTAATAAAAATATAAAAATGTGCTAGGTGTGGTGGCAGGTGCCTGTAATCCCAGCTGCTCTGGAGGCTGAGGCAGGGGAATCACTTGAACCCGGGAGGTGGAGGCTGTGGTGAGCCGAGATCGCATCATTGCACTCCAGCCTGGGCAACAGAGTGAGACTCTGTCTCAAAAAAAAAAAAAAAAAGTCACCATTGAACCCTCCTAAGAAGATATACAATAGCCAGTAAGCACACGAAAAAGATGGCTCAATATCACTCATCATTAGAGAAATGCAAACGAAACTCATAATGAGATACCTAACACCTATGTCCATTTGGATGGCTACTGTCCAAAAACAAACAACAGGCATGGGTGAGGACGTGGAGGACGTGGAGGAATTAGAACTCTGCTGCACTGTTATTGGTGGGCATGTCAAATGGCGCAGCTGTCGTAGAAAACAGCATGGCAGCTCCTTAGAGAATTTAAAATAGGGCGGGGCACAGTGGCTCATGCCTGTAATCCTAGCACTTTGGGAGGCTGAGGTGGGTGGAGCACTTGAGGCCGGAAGTTCAAGACCACCCTGGCCAACATGGTGAAGCTCCATCTCTATTAAAAATACAAAAATCATCTGCTGTAGTGGTATGTGCCTATAATCACAGCTACTCAAGAGGCTGAGGCAGGAGAATCACTTGAACCTGGGAGGCAGAGGTTGCAGCAAGCTGAGATCCCACCATTGCACTCCAGCCTGGGAGACAGAGTGAGACTCTGTCTACTAAAAAAATAAAAATAAAAATAGAATATCCTGATGCTCTTGCATTTCCACTTCTGGTTATATATCCCAAAGAATTGAAAGCAGGGTCTAGAACAGATTAAACACCCGTGTTCATAGCAGCATTATTCATAATAGCCAAGAGGTGGAAGCAACCCAGTGTCTCTCCATGAGATGAATGAATAAACCAAATGTGGCATATACATGTAATAGAATGCTATTCAGCCTTAACAAGGAAGTAAGTTCTCATACCTGCTACCATGTGGATGAAACTTGAGGGCTTTCTACTAAGTGAAATAAGCCAGTTGCAAAAAAACAAACACTTTCACTTATATGAGGTACCTAGAGTCCTCCAATTCATAGAGACAGAAAGTAGAAAGGTGGTTTCCAGAGGCTGTGGGAGTGGGGAGTTGCTGTGTAATGTGTGCAGAGTTTCCGTTCTGCAAGATGGAAAGGGTTCTGGAGATAGATGTTGGCGATGGTTGCACAATAATGCCCTGTACACTTGAAAAGGGAAGATGGAAAATGTTATGTGATCCATGTTTGGCCACAATTACAAATGCAATTTTATTTTTTGAGATGTAGTCTCGTTCTGTCTCCAAGCTGGAGTACATTGGTACGATCTTGGGTCACTGCAACTTCTGCCTCCCGGGTTCAAGCGATTCTCCTGCCTCAGCCTCCTGAGTAGCTGGGACTACAGGCGTGCGCCACCACGCCTGGCTACTTTTTGTATTTTTAGTAGAGATGGGGTTTCACCATGTTGTCCAGGCTGGTCTCGATCTCTTGACCTTGTGATCTGCCTGCCTCGGCCTCCCAAAGTGCTGGAATTACAGGTGTGAGCCACTGTGCCCAGCCACAAATACAAATTTTTTTAAAAGAGAACAAAAAGTCACTATTAAACCCTCACCCCTCTGTTCCCCCCGATGTCTGTGGCTTCGTGTCAGGCAGTGATCGCTGCCAGATGGGAGCCTCCCCATCTCAGCCAGTCCTCCTCCCCTTCACAAGCCCTGCCTTATCCCTCAGAGGGGGGCCTCTTGCCCCTGCTAACATTGCTTGAGAAAGCTTCTAATCTCATTTATGGGGTCAGCCTCCACAAGCTAAGTTATTTTAGCCAAGGACTGTTGACTATGATGTTACATTTTGGCTTTTGTTTTCACTGCTTGGTCAAATAGAGAGCAAGGGCCACTTCTTGCCATGCCAGCCTGCCGCTCCTGCCGCCCTGTGAGACGGAGGGTTGTTTTCCTGGTTGTGGTGACAGATGAGCCACACATGACTCACTGGAGCGGTCTCCCCTGAAACAAAGGCTTGTATTTGACTGCAGACTGAGTGTTGAGTTGGTGGCCTTTGCAAGATTGGATGGGCAGTTCTGGCTTCAAATGACCCTGATGAATCACACGGTTCACAGACATTTCATTTATTTTTATATGCCTTGATGGTGATTCTGGACACCACTCGTTTCTTCGTATAATTTGCATTAAACTTTCCTTTTGACTGTGTGCGAGCGTGGTGTCAGATGCTTCACAGAGTTTTCTTGTGTTTCTGTTTTTCAGGATCACTTATGGACTCACTTTCTGTGCTGGTTAAATGTGCTGCTTTGCTTCCAACACCATGTGAAGCCTACTGACCTCTGATCTCCCTCAGAGCAGAAACTGGACTTCGGGTAAACCCAGCCCATGGGCCTTGTAGTTCACATTAATTTGCCTGACTGTGATTGAGGTAATAAGAAAAGGTTTAATTATTTGGGCTAATGATTTTGATTTTAAAATATTTGATAATTACCACCAAAGAAAAGTCAATCCATTTGACTTCTGTTTCGTGGCTATGCATTCTTAGATAGGAAGTAATTAAAATAAGACGCCTGCTAAATAAACTTGAAAACCTCACCAGGAGAGCATCACCTCCAACTGAGCTAAAAATAGAGATATACTGGTTTGAGTGAAAACCTAGCTGGTCATGGCGGCATGTGCCTGTAGTTCCAGCTACTTGGGAGGCTGAGGCAGGACGCTCCCTTGAGCCCAGGGGTTTGAAACCAGCTTGGGCAATGTAGCAAGATCCCATCTCAAAAAAAGGATTTCAGAATAAAAAATGATGGTTCCTTCTTTCCTCCCTCCCTCTTCCCCTTTTCACTTTGAGTTTGATAATAGACTCCTTGAGCAAACTGGGATTTTTTTACAAGGAAGTAATAGTCTAATATTAAATTTTCTGATGCCCTTATTCTAAGTCAGCTTTATAATTTTTTCTCTCATCATATTCTAAAGTGAGGACACCTGAAGTCTTTAGAAAAGCTCTAGAGATTTGTTTTATTAATATGTTTTTCTTTCTAAAATGAGAGCTCTTATTTTTTTTCTGCATTTTTCATCTCATCCTCATTTTTGAGATGAGAGGCCTTCTTTTGTGGTATTCCTAGAGCCCCAACAGAGCCTGGTACCTGGTGTCACCTTATAAAAATGTGGTAGTTTTTTTTTTAGAGATGGGGTTTTACCATGTTGGCCAGGATGGTTTTGATCTCTTGACATTGTGTTCTGCCTGCCTTGGCCTCCCAAAGTGCTGGGATTACAGGCATGAGCCACCGCACCCAGCCAAAATGTGGTAGTTTTTGAGCAAAAATCTCTCCAAATACTATGGAGAGATGTTTTCTCTATCAGTAATTTATGTATAATGAAAGTGTATCTCTCTGATCATTGAAATCTGTGTATTTAGACTGACAGAATAAATATACTTTCTCTGATTTTTCTCTTCAAGAATCACTAGTTTGGCCAGGTATGGTAGCTCACATCTGTAATGCTAGCACTTTGGGCGGCTGAGGCAGGAGGATCTCTTGAACCCAGGAGTTCAAGACCAGCCTGGATCAACAGAGTGAAACCCTGTATCTTTAAATAATAATAATAAAGGCCAAGTTTGAGCATGGTGGCACGTGCCTATAGTCCCAGCTACTTGGGAAGCTGAGGCCAGAGGGTCACTTGAGTGTAGTAAGTCGAGGCTGCCGTGTGCTGTGACTACAGCACTGCACTCCAGCCTGGGTGATAACAGTGAGACCCTGTCTCCAAAAAACAAAAAGGCAAAAAAAGAATCATTAGTTCAAAATCTCCCTACACCAACCCGAAGCAGATCTTTCTCATAAGCTGATCTTTATGCCTGTTCAACTTCTAAATTAATATTGTATAACGAATAGTGTATTTAAAATAGCTAGGACACAGGTGTGCGGTGTTGTCTGTCTAGCTAATGAGCAGCCTTGCAAAATAAGGAGAGCCTGTGCTACTGCCTGACTCTTGTCCCTCCTCCTTTGAGTCATGCCAGCACTGAAGTTGCTGTGTAATATGCAGGGGATTCTTTTAAGAAAGTTCCATCATAAGGGAACCTAATTTCGGCCACGGTCTTACTGATGCAGCTGTTCTTAATTTAGGTTAAAATGGGCAACTCTGAGAGTCAGTACACCCTTCAAGGATCTAAAAATCATAGCAATACTATTACTGGTGCTAAGCAAATTCCTTGCTCCCTGAAAATACGTGGCCTTCATGCAAAAGAGGACAAGTCGTTGCATGGGTGGGGCCACGGAAGCAGCGGAGCAAGTTACAAGTCCCGGTCCCTGGCCCGAAGCTGCCTTTCTCACTTTAAGAGTAATCAGCCTTACGCGTCGAGACTTGGCGGCCCCATGTGCAAGGTCTCCAGAGGCACTGCCTACTCCACGCACAGGACGAATGCCCCAGGGAAGGATTTCCAGGGCTTCCATGCTGCTTTCTCAGCTGATAATGGCTTCCACTCTGTTGGCCACGAGCCCGCAGATCACATCACCTCCAGAGACTGCAACGGGCACCTTCTCAACTGCTACGGGAGGAATGAGAGCGTGGCCTCCACTCCGCTGGGCGAAGACCGCAAGAGCCCCAGAGTGCTCATCAAAACTCTGGGGAAGCTGGATGGGTGTTTAAGGGTCGAGTTCCACAATGGTGGCAACCCCAGCAAGGTGCCTGCAGAGGACGCCGGTGAGCCGGTGCAGCTGCTGAGGTACTCGCCTACTTTAGCATCAGAAACCTGCCCGGTGCCTGAAGCCAGGAGGGGGTCTAGCGCCGACTCCCTGGCCAGCCATCGCCCCTCTCCCACGGACTCTCGCCTGCGGTCAAGCAAAGGCAGCTCCCTGAGTTCCGAGTCATCCTGGTACGACTCTCCTTGGGGCAACGCTGGAGAGCTGAGCGAGGCTGAGGGCTCCTTCCTGGCCCCAGGCATACCTGACGCCAGCCCCCATGCCACTTTCCCACCTGGTGATGCCAAAAAGCCTTTCAACCAAAGCTCTTCCCTCTCCTCACTCCGGGAACTGTACAAAGATGCTGACCTGGGGAGCCTTTCCACCTCAGGCATCCGCCTTTCTGATGAGTACATGGGCACGCACACCAGCCTGAGCAACCGTGTCTCTTTTGCCTCCGACATTGATGTGCCCTCCAGGGTGTCACACAGAGACCCCGTCCCATACAGTTCCTTCACCCTCCCCTGTCGGAAGCCCAAAGCCTTAGTGGAGGATACTGCAAAGAAGGACTCCCTCAAAGCCAGGATGCGAAGGATCAGTGACTGGACGGGAAGCCTCTCAAGGAAGAAAAGGAAACTCCAGGTGAGCGCACCTTAGAGCTGGGGGTAGGGGGGGGTGGGGGAGTGGGTGGGATGGGGAAGTGTCCCCGTGGTTTCCCCATCTGGAGAAAGGGAGGGTTGGTGGACTCCACCATAGAGTGTTGTAGGGGTGCTTAAATGATCTGGCAAAAGTGAAGAGTTCCATGGAAAGCGTGGCTCATCTCTCGTCTTCAGGTGTGAGATTGTTTTCTCTTTTGCTTCAGATATTTTCACTTTTAGCCCACAACTTTAATCTTCCCGTGTCTTAGTCAGTTTGGGCTGCAAACAACATACCACAGACTGGTTGGTTTAATCAACAGACATCTGTTTCTCACAGTGCTGGAGGCTGGAAGTCAAAGGTCAGAGTGCCAGTGGGGTCCGATTCTGGGGAGGGCTCTCTTCCTGGCTGCAGACAGCTGCCTTCTCGCTGTGTCTTCATGAGGCAGAGAGCGGGAGCTCTAGGCTCTTTCTCAGGACCTTAATCACATCATGGGGACCCTACCCTCATGACCTCTTCTAAACTAATTACCTCTCAAAGCCATCAGCCAAATACCATCCACTGGTAGTTAAGGCTTCCGCATGGGTTTGGGGGGAGGAAACAAAAGTTGAGTCAGTAGCACTCTGGTTCTGTGCATGCCCCTGCACTCTTGCATGCACTCCACGGGCCTCATCTTAAGACTTGGCCATAGCTGGGCGCAGCGGCTCACACCTGTCATCCCAGAACCTGGGGAGGCCAAGGTGGGCAGATCATTTGAGACCAGGAGTTTGAGACCAGCCTGGGCAAGATGGCGAAACCTTGACTTTACCCAAAATACAAAAATTACCTGGGTGTGGTGGCAGGTGCCTGTAATCCCAGCTACTCGGGAGGCTGAGATAGGAGAATTGCTTGAACCTGGGAGGCGGAGGTTGCAGTGAGCTGAGATTATGCCTGGGCAACAGAGAGAGACCCTGTCTTTAAAAAAAAAAAAAAAGAAAGAAAAAGAAAGTACAGAGTTGGAGAGAATTCCTGAAAGAATTGGTTATCTGAGAATTTTGCTAGACCTCATTCTTAAAACAGAAAAGATGAGATTGTCATTATTTTTGGTTGAATAGGTTTATTGAACTTGATATTACTCTGATGAAATTAAAATTTCTATGCTTACATTGGCAAATCAAAAAAAAAAAAAGTTGATGATATGTGTGTGATCTTTTTTTTTTTTTTTTTGAGATAGAGTCTCACTCTGTCACCCAAGCTGGAGTGAAGTGGTGTGATCTTGGCTCACTACGACCTCTGCTTCCCAGGTTCAAGCAGTTCTGCTGCCTCAGTCTCCTGAGTAGCTGGGATTACAGGGTTGCACCACCATGCCCAGCTAATTTTTGTATTTTAGTAGAGATGGGGTTTCCCCATGTTGGCCAGGCTGATCTCAAACTCCTGATCTCAGGTGATCCACCCCCTTGGCCTCCCAAAATGCTGGGATTACAGGCTTCAGCCACCGCATCTAGCCTGTATGTGTAATCTTAACCTCCTCATAGAGATAGCTGGTGGTATTCTGAAAGCATCTTGTAACTAAGTACATGTAATCGAAAAATATATATACTGATAAAACTGATAAGAATGATGAATATACTTCTGTGTCCTGGTGTATAAGGTTCTACTGGGGGAGCAAAGTGGCTTATCTACCAGGAAGAAAGTTAGAGTTTGCCTTTTTGGGTAACTAGTGGCAATTGCTAGATTTTCAGTTTGTTGTTGCTTTGTTACTTGTTTTTATTTTTGATTATTTATAGAGGGGAGAAGCTCTTTTTTTATCTACTGTGTATAAGTCATAGAGTTGAAGGGAATTTGTGTGGGCAGTTAGTCTCTAGCAGAATTGCATCTTAGATAGACATAAAATTATAAAATTCTATAAATTATATAAAGATTTCAGGGTGGAAAATGTGACTGAGTAGATTGCTTCAGGTTTATTAAGCTTGACATTCATTACTTCCTGCTTGTGCATAGTGCGTCTGCTTCTACCCTCCGTCCTGTGCTGGGCTTGGATTCTCCTTCCTCCTCCTCCACACAGAGATGAGGAAGAGACCATCACCAGCCTGGTTTCAGAGCCTCTTCCTATCCCTGAATATACTGTATAATTTTACTCCTGGATCATCACTTTTTCAGACGAAACCACGAAATAGTAGAGATTTCCTTGACATTTTTCTCTCAGCTCCCATTTCCTGAACAACTCATGCCAGCTGAGCATAATGGGGAAAGCAGCTTCTGCTTACTGGAGGGCTGCAATCCCAGGTGGAGAGCTTTAACGTCTTTTTGATTCCAGTGTTATGGTGCCGACCTGTGTTCCCTAATTGGTGGTAGCATCGAGCCAATGATTCTGTATCTCTATTTTTTTTTTTTGAGAGGGAGTTTCACTCTTGTTGCCCAGGCTGGAGTGTAGTGGAATCATCTTAGCTCACTGCAACCTCCGCCTCCCAGGTTCAAGTGATTCTCGTGCCTCAGACTCCCGAGTAACTGGGATTATAGGCATGTGCCACCATGACTGGCTAATTTTGTACTTTTAGTAGAGACAGGGTTTCTCCATGTTGGTCAGGCTGGTCTCAAACTCTTGACCTTAGGTGATCCACCTGTCTTGGCCTCCCAAAGTGCTGGGATTATAGGTGTGAGCCACTGCGCCCGGCTTCTGCATCTCTTATGTGCACTGAGTGTGTTGCTCATAGGTGTGTGTACCCGGCTTACACGCAGCCCTACTGAGTTCCATTCAGTGTCAGTCCCCACTTGATTCAGAGGTAGATCAGTTGCTGCTGTGTATTTAACATTCTATCATGGGCAGAGTGACCCTCCTTGTCTCTCCTGCCCATGGGAACTGGGTCTCCCTCAATTTTGCACTGTCCGAAAACCTAACTCTGAATTGTGTGCCTGTAGAATTAAAAGCAAACTGGTTAGGGCCAGGCACAGTGGCTCACGCCTACAATTCCAGCACTTTCGGAGGCCAAGGTAGGCAGATCACTAGAGGTCAGGAGTTCAAGACCAACCTAGCCAACTTGGCAAAATCCTGTCTCTATTGAAAATACAAAAATTAGCTGGACATGGTGGCATGTGCCTGTTAGTCCCACCTCTTGGGAGGCTGAGGCAAGAGAATGGCTTTAACCTGGGAGGTGGAGGTTGCAGTGAACTGAGATCCTGCCACTGCATTGCAGCCTGGGCAACAGAGTGAGTCAAAAAAAAAAAAAAGGTTAGACTCAACGAATTAGAATTTTATTATTTATTTTTAGAGACAGAGTCTTACTCTGTTAAAAAAAAGTAACTTCTTAGCAAATTTTAACCATAGATTATAGTATTATTAACTGTAGTCACCATACTTTACCTTAGAGCTCCAGAACTCATTCCTCCTGAGGCTTTGTGCCCTTTGACCAGCATCTTCCCATTTCACCCTCTCTCCTGCCCCTGGCGACCACCATTGTACTCTCTGCTTCCATGAGTTGGACTATTTCTCATTTCACATATAGGTGGAATCTTGCAGTACAAGTCTTTCTGTGGAGTGACATCTCTTGAGTTTTTACTGTTTTTTCTTTTTCCTTTTTTTGAGACAGAGTCTTACTCTTGTGTCCTAGGCTGGAGTGCAATCTTGGTTCACTGCAACTTCTGCTTCCTGGGTTCAGGAGATTCTCCTGCCTCAGCCTCCTGAGTAGCTGGGATTATAGGCATGCACCACCACACCTGGCTAATTTTTTATTTTTAGTAGACAGGGTTTTTCCATGTTGGTCAGGCTGGTCTTGAACTCCGGACCTCAGGTGATCTGCCTGCCTCGGCCTCCCAAAGTGCTGGGATTACAGGCATGAGCCACCACACCCGGCTTGAGTTTTTACTCTTGAGTCTTTACTCATCTCTTACTCTTTGCTATACTGCCCTGGTCATCAAGTTACATTAGCCCTTGTTTCTGATTATTTGATTTGGTGGAAGTGGAGTCATTTGTATGGAAATGGAAATCACATGCTTTGTGTACATATAGAACAGACACCTTAATTTCATCTGTTTAACACAGTGATTAAGAATTCTAGCTGAACCTATTTAAAGACATTCTATATTTTTTAAAGGCTCTTTTTTATTTGCTGAAAATTAGTCACTGGCTATTAGCATTCTAGATAAAAAGATTAAGAAATTTATTAGAGAGTTCATGCGTATGTATAGGAATCAGTTATAAAGGCCGGCACGGTGGCTCATGCCTGTAATCTCAGCACTTTGGGAGGCTGAGGAGGGTGGATCACCTGAGGTCAGAAGTTCAGAACCAGCCTGACCAACAGGGAGAAACCCCGTCTTTACTAAAAATACAAAATTAGCTGGGCGTGGTGGCGCATGCCTATAATCCCAGCTACTCGGGAGGCTGAGGCAGGAGAATGCTTGAACAGAGAGGTGAAGGCTGCAGTGATCTGAGATTTTGCCTTTGCACTCCAGCCTGGGCAACAAGAACAAAACTCCATCTCAAAAAACAAAAAAAGAATCGGTTATAAATGCTAAAATGCATTTCCTGCCCATTTCTGAAAAAGGAAAATTCTTGCTTTGCTTGGTTAAACATTTGAAAGTTGGCAGTACAGTTTGACAAGCAGCGTCAAGAGTACGCGTAGGTCACACTTCACTTCGGGACTCTGTGCGTTTCTCTGGCAGAGTTGTGCTTGCTTTGAAGCACTCCTTCGTGGCCCTTGCAGGGTGTCAGAGGGTGTTCCTGTGTTTTTAGGTTATGAATCAGAGGGACATATTTGTAGCTGAGATAATGTTAATACTAGCTAGATGAGAAGTGTTTCTTCACCCTTTAGAAGTTTTTGAAAAGCAACAAAGTGACAATTAAAAACACCTCCTCTAAGTATCTGGAAAGTTTTCTGTCCAAGTGACTCACAGCAGCTGGTTTCTTTGCTCTGCGTGAGCATCAGTGTATAAATAAACATGACTGTGGGATGCAGTGTAAACAGTGACTAATAATATTTCCATCTCTAATATCTGTTTGGGGCTCAGTTGTTCATAGCTCCTGGGAATTTGGAAGCACTCTTCAGTTGTGTGATTATTTTCCTACCAGACAGCAAGTAATTGCGACTTGATTTTTGGATGAAATTTTTGAAAAGGAAACCTCTCTACCCAATGTAATATTCAAAATGAGGCCTTTAGTCAATGGTCCTTGACCCAGTTTTCCATCATTTTTATTTTAATGCATAAGGAAATCTAATTGAAAGCCCAGTAGCAGCTGAGTGGTCTGGAGTGTGCTTGGCGTCTCTGCGGAGTTATCTTCATCTAGGCCATACGTCTTGAGTGTCAGTGCCTTTTGAGTCAGAAGTTAAGCTCCCTTTATGCTGAAAAATTTAATTACTGCTATTTTACCAGTGAAAAGCCTGTATGCAAATTATTTTTCTTGACTGACTAGACTCGCAATCCAGATATTAGAGAAATGTCTTTCTGTTTTCAGCTCTGTGCACGGTGCATGGCCAGCTTGATCAGTGCACCCGGTCCTCACAGGGAGCAGCAGTATAAGTATGAATTGTATTTAGAGCTGCCTATGTTTGCTTTTGTGTTGGAATAAATACTAAAGTTAAGAATCATGTGTCTTTGACATCTCCAGTACCTAGCGTAAAACAGGTACTCAAATAAAAGGATATGAATGAATAAATGAGTGTATTTTTTTCACGTAAGCAATTCTTAAGTAAGAAATACTAATTATGAAAAAAAGCTATAGTTACCAGCCAATACCCTTCATGGATAAGGAATCCTAAGTGTAGTATTATTTTTATTATTTATTTATTTATTTATTTTTGAGATGGAGTTTTGCTCTTGTTGCCCAGGCTAGAGTGCAGTGGCGTGATCTCGGTTCACTGCAACCTCCACTTCCCAGTTTCAAGTGATTCTCCTGCCTCAGCCTCCTAAATTGCTGGGATTACAGGTGTGTACTGCCACACCTGGCTAATTTTTGTATTTTTAGTAGAGATAGAGCATCACCATGTTGGCCAGACTGGCCTCGAACTCCTGACCTCAGGTGATCCGCCTGCCTTGGCCTCCAAACGTGCTAGGATTGCAGGCATGAGCCACCACACCACCTCCTATTTTTACTATGTGAACCAGGAAAATAAGATAGTAGAGATCTCAAAGGCTAGAGTCTAGACCTGAGCACTTGGCCAGAGGCTGGGGACTGTAGGGAGCGGAAGAGAAGTTTTTGGGTTTTGCATAACAACGTGAGTCCCTAACTTCCTTGCCCTACCCTGGTACTAGTCATTTCCTAATTTAGCTTTCAGATGATCCAGAGGAAAAACGAATTGCAAGAATATGACTTCTTTCCTGGAAGACACTGATTCACGGTTAGCAAAGAAGAAACATCATTTTAGTAATCTTCACGAGTGTGCTGTAAACATACTAGTTACTTTCTTGATGCTAAGCATAGGTTAGATTTAGGAGAGCTGTTGGTATTTTATTTACTTCTTTAAGTGTTAACTCCACTGGGTATAAATTGGCTTGGGCAACACTCTTTCTAAAATTCTTTCTGATATGAAGACTTGATAATTAAAGATGTATTTTTGTGACAAGAACCTTGCTTTGCGTTACATTATTAGCAGCCACCACTATTACACTTATGCTGTGTTTAAGAAGGGATGCTTTCGATAGCTATAACCTCTGATGGGTGATCACGTGTGTTTCCCACAGGAACCAAGGTCCAAGGAGGGCAGTGACTACTTTGATAGTCGCTCTGAGGGACTGAATGCTGATGTGCAGGGGTCCTCCCAGGCATCTGCCTTTCTGTGGTCAGGGGGCTCTGCTCAGATCCTGTCTCAGAGAAGTGAATCCACACATGCGATTGGCAGCGATCCCCTCCGACAGAACATTTATGAGAATTTCATGCGAGAGTTGGAGATGAGCAGGACCAACACTGAGAACGTCGAAACCTCTACAGAAACCGCCGAGTCCAGCAGCGAGTCGCTCAGCTCTCTGGAACAGCTGGATCTTCTTTTTGAGAAGGAGCAGGGCGTGGTCCGGAAAGCTGGGTGGCTCTTCTTCAAGGCCCTGGTCACGGTGCAAAAGGAAAGGAAGCTGGAGCTGGTGGCACGAAGGAAATGGAAACAGTACTGGGTAACACTGAAAGGTGAGTGCATTATCAGCGGCTGAGGCCACTGAAATCATTACCTCTAGCCGAGGTCTTTCCCAGGAAGTGCCAGGAGCTAGCGTTGGGTTGAGTTCACATGAGGGGTTTGACAGAGGATCCGTGCCATGCCTTATTAGGGATACTTTCTCATACCTGTGTCGTAGGCTTTACCTACTAGTTACACGTATTATGCAGTCTAATAAATAATTATTGGATTTTTACTTATATTTATTTTTTTGAGACAGAGTCTCGCTCTGTTGCCCAGGTTGGAGTGCAGTGGCGCGATCTCAGTTCACTGCAACCTCTGCCTCCCAGGCTCAAGCAATTCTCGTGTCTCAGCCTCCTGAGTAGCTGGAATTACAGGCATATGCACCATGCCTGGCTGATTTTTGTCTAATTTTTAGTAGAAATGGGGTTTCAACATGTTGACTCGGCTGCTCTCATAAGTCCTGACCTCAAGCAATTTGCCCACCTTGGCTTCCCACTGTGCCTGGCCAAATATAATGATGGGATTTAGTACTTATTGCTTATTTTATAGGCATGCCTGTACCATTCTTTGATACTTTCCCTGCATTTGGAGAAAAAAGTCAATAACGAAATGTGGTTTAGTTATTTGGAAGGTAGCTTCTGAATTTCACATTCTGTATGTGTTCAGAACTCCAAAGAGGTTTTCTTTCCAACTTGTGCAACTAAGAATATCTCCTGGATTATTAATTTGTGTCATTCCAGCTTTATGAACAAAGTCCAGTTGTCATCACTAACAAGTGCAGCTATTTTTTTTTTAACATAAAGGCAATTGAAGTAAGAATTTGTTTTGTTGAGATGAGAAGTTTCTTATAAGCATTGCCATTTAAAAACTGTCATTGCCTTGCTCATTGCACATGTATAGGTTTGAAGAATTCTAAATGTCTTGTGAGGAAACGAGACGCTCCAAATCTGTACAGTGTTGATTTATGCAGATGCACACAGAGCTGCCTCACAGCCCCTGGCACCTGCACAGCACCCGGGACTCTTTGTCAGAGGAACTGAGTGTGTTGTTCAAAAATTAAACCCAAGGCCGGGCACGGTGGCTCACTCCTGTAATCTCAGCACCTTGGAAGGCTAAGGTGGGTGGATCACCTGAGATTGAGAGTTTGAGACCACTCTGGCCAACATGATGAAACCCTATCTCTACTAAAAATACAAAATTTAGGCAGACGTGGTGGTGCTTGATTGTAGTCCTAGCTACTCAGGAGACTGAGGCAGGAGAATCGCTTGAACCTGGGAGGCGGAGGTCGCAGTAAGCCTGGATTGCTCCACTGTACTCCAGCCTGGGCGACAGAGAGACTCTGTCTCAAAAACAACAAAAGTCAAGCCTCATCGTCAAGTGATTTCCTTCCCTGTTACAGGAGAGAGCAGAAAGATCTGCAAACGTGACATGTGCAATGCCCAGTGCCCTCTGATTTACCCCTTTCTTGCTTTTCTTTGCCCCTTATTGAACAAAGGAGCCCTGCTTCCTCAACCAGGGAAGGCAAGCATCATGTCTTGATTACCACAAGCTCCTCTGGTGCCTCTGGTAAAGAGGCCCTTGCAAAGGTGTTTCATGTCCAAGTGACACGTTTCCCCAGCAGGCCAGCGGGTGTACAAAGCCCAAGGGCCCAGTGTTGCTCACATCCTGCAGTCCTTTTTTCCAACCCTAGGTTTGGATGCCTGTAGACATTGTGGCTGGCTAAGGAAGGTAAAGAACTTCCCCGGCTTCTCCATACTAGAGAGGCAGATTTCTGTACCGAATGACAGAAACAATTTGGAAAGCTGCAATAATGGGCTGAATCTAGCAGGATTAAAATTTAAAGAGATAAGAAAGTTCTGCTTTAAGGTGTAAAAGTCAGATAGCTACCCAAGGACAGGACAGGGAGATGTGACTACAAACTGTTATGAGTGAGTCTGGGTGTGGCAGCTGATGCCTGTAATCCCAGCACTTTGGGAAGCTGAGGCAGGTGGATCACCGGAGTTCAGGAGTTTGAGACCAGCCTGGCCAACATGGCAAAACCCTGCCTCTACTAAAAATACAAAAATTAGCCAGGCATGATGGCAGGTGCGTGTAATCCCAGCTACCTGGGAGGCTGAGGCTGCAGAATCGCTTGAACCTGGGATGAGGAGGTCGCAAAAAGCCGAGATCATGCCATTGCACTCCAGCCTGGGCAACAAGAGTAAAACTCAATCTCAAAAAAAAAAAAAAAAAAAAAAATTATGTGTGAAAAAGATGTCAGGACTAACTTCGCAGGCCACGTGTTTCCAAGGTGATGTGGCTGAAAAAGTAAATGTGATTTCGTCAAGAGCAAATGTGATCTTTAGCTATCTCATTAGAGATGTCCCGTGATGATCGGCTATATCATTAGAGGATCAGCTTCTTCCTTAGAGATGCTGTGTCCCTTGCAGAGGAAATGACAGTCTCTCCTTTCTTTGTCCTGGTCAGAGTTGGTCATTTCCCCCCTCGTGGGCACAGTATTGCAGGAGACTTGTTAGGAAATAAGAGATTGATTCTTGAAAGGTTCTCCCAAAGGATCCCTGAATGGGGAGAGAGTGAACATGTTCCCTAAGGGGCTGAACATCTGGGACTATTTGTGAATCATAGTTTGAAGCAGCCTCCTAGTCACATGATATTAATACTTAGAACAGATGCATGTTACCCTATCATGTGTCATGTGTCTATTTTTTTAATGTAAAATTTATTGCTTAAAATTAGTGCTTTGAGAATTTCTCCCCTGCCTATGGATTTGAAAACCCCCAGTATACATACATCACCCCAGGGGTGGGGGTGCTGGATTGGGATGCAGGGTGTGTGTGTATGTGTGTGTATGTCTTTGTGTATGTGTGTCTGTGTGTGTATGTGTCTGTGTGTATATATGTGTGTATGTGTATGTACGAGAGAGAGAGAGGGAAAGAGAGAGAGAGAACATACCACTTTGAGAATCAGGTCCATAGGTGACGACAAGGGGATTTGGAGCCGTGCCACATGGAAGAGGGCATAAAGATTTAGGGATGTTCAGCATGGAGAAAATAAGAACTGGATGGGAATGAACAGCAGTGTGTAGAAAAGGCATTGAATTTATTCTGGGCCTGCGGAGGTTGGGATGGGACTAAGAGATAGGAGACAGGCTGATTCTAAATTAATGCAAAAAACAACAGTGTCAGCCCTGGGCAAGGAGAAAGACGCTCCCTTGTTGATTTCTCTGCTACTGACCACATTTACCCAGAGCCAACTCGTTGCAGGCTTCTTGAGGGCAACTCAGGCAGATATTGCTTAAGGGCTGGAAGAGCTGATTGGCAGGTCTGTGTGTTTTATCTCAAAAGGTAGACCAAGAACTTCTGGCTACCAACTTTAGAGGTAAGGACAGACCTGAGTTGTCACTGACCATTGCTGTATTTGTAGTCTTGGCTAGGCCCTGCTTTCCTGGTGTTTGCTTGTAAAACACTTTAAGATCCATGGATAAAGGGTGCTTTGTAGTATAAACGTTATCAAGCACACATTCCTTCCTTTCCTTTGCAGCCAAGGCAAGACATGCGATAAACATGTCTTTTCCCCGCATAACCTTTTCCATGTGGCTTTCTACACCTCCTTCCTCTGGGAATTCAGTGTGTTGAGTTCTGATTTCTTGGCTTAGAATCCAAGTTGTAATGTTTGGACTTAACTGTTTGGTTTAATCCTAGTTAAAAACACAGATATGTGTATACATACATACTTACATGTAAGCCTAATTTGAAAATTATCCTTCAAGTATCTATGTCAATAAATGGGAAACAGTTTTCTGGAGAGAGCCGTTATTAACAAACCATCTGGCTTGTTACCTACATGGAATGTGTAGGTATGCTGGGGACATAAATGTGTTTCAAGGCTTTGGAGGATGTAATAAATTTTTAACAAGGGCAATTCTGCTTTCCATTTGTCTTTTCCAATGAGTGGATTTTCATGCAGTTCACTGGGGACTTCCTGGGCTGAAGAGCTGGCAAGGTCATGAAACATCCCTCAAAATGCGCAGCAGACTGAGTGATGGTCAATGTCAGGAGAGGAGTTTGTACAGTAATTTCAGGATGCTGGTGATTCTGCCTTGAGCTGGGCCAGCAGCAGGGTTTGGAGGCCAAGAGGGTATCATAGAAAGGGAGGATTTGAGGGAGAACCAAGACTAATTGCCCTCCTTCCCTGGGTGATAGTTCTACTAATATCTATAATTTCTACTAATATTACCTCTCTATTCCTGAACTGCCATTGCTATGCCAATCTGTTTTCTGCTTCTGCTCCCATGGCAAGAATGTCCAGTGTCAGCGACCCGTCCAAGCCAAGACCAGCACTTGGTAGGGACTGAGCGGGGCCAGTCCGGCGCCGGCAGTGGGGTGAACGGCAGAGGCTTCATTGATGTGGGTGCCACCCCTTTCCACTGGCCCCAGTGCCCCCTTAGAGATGCAGGGTCCCTTGAAATTCAACTTGATGTAACAGAGTTAAGATTGATTTCCTGATTTGTGAATTCGATAACCACACAATTCTGCGTATTGTTTTCCATCCTGGCCTGGCTCTAATGTGAAATGCCCTGTTTTGATTTCATGCCTCCAAGTTAGAGCCGTGGTCTGTTGTCCACGGGGTGTTGGGTTTGGTGGCATTTTGGCATTGGCTCAAGGTTTGTGTGCATTTCCTCTACCTGCCACGATTTAAACCATGGCTGTTGGGATTCCAGTGTTAGGGAAGCTGGGAAGTGAACGTGAGCCCATCGGAAAGAATTTGGACGTGGGTGCAGCTGGAGCTGCTCTGTCCCCTTTGCCTTGGTCCTTGGGCCCCAGGTCATGGCATGTTGCATGTGCAGCAGTAGCATCAGACGGGCCTTACCCCATGGGAAGACTGGGGTTATTGTTTAACTGCTGTGTCGGTGGCTGGAAAAAGATACTGGCCAGGACTGCAAGGAGCAGCTCTGGCTGCAAACCTGTTGCTCCTTCCCCTTGTTTGTCATATTTGAGCTCTGTCAGCCTCTTAGTTTGGATGAGTTTTATTTGTGCGGGGGGAGCGAATGTGTAGCGTTTCTTGAGATCTAAAGTAGTAGAGGGAGAAAGTAGTGTTTCTGAAGGCTGAGCTTGGTGCAGGCTTCTTTCTCTCTTGGCTTCTATGTGCCGTTATGGGTTCTTTTGTATAAAACTGTTTGTTCATAGCAACACTGACTTTTAAAGAAAGTAATGAAATTGGAAGGACTGAAATAGTTTTTAAGAAATCTGAACTTTTATGAATGAGGACACAAGCACAGTAGGGTAAAGTACCGTGAAGTGAAGCCCAGGCGTTTATTCACAGTGAAGGAGGGCTGGTGTTTCTTTCCTGTCAGTGTGAAAGGTGCTTCTGAAGCTCCCAGTTGGTGGGCATATCACTGTTACTCATACGCTGGAGATTGGAACCTGAGAAGTGGTCAAAACAGTTTATAGGATACAGATTTGAGGAGATAGTCCACTTGTACAAGAGAACACACCTGTGAGCATCTTAGCATTAATTTGCTTAAAAATTGTGTCTAGTAATTGTAATGCAATTTCTAACTAATGAAGCAAACTCTTAATAACTTCTACCTGCAATACTTTATTAGCATATGAGGGGAAACGTAAGTGCTTGAAAGCATATGTTGTAGTATTTTTAGAGTATTGTTTTAAAATTCAGGCACATTTAGTTTGACTTTTCTCCCTCAAACAGTGTTTTCTATTACTGTGAGATAAAAGGAAATACTAAAAGCATTTGGAGAATAAGCTGCGTACTTTCTCATAAATGCCAGAGTTCCACAGGAGGTCCAGTTGCTTGTTCCCATTGATTGCTAATGGAATAAGTGAGTATGGCATTTTCTTCGGCCTCTCACATCGAGATTCCCTAAATAATGTGGTGTCGTGTTTAAGGACAAGGGTTTTGGGGCCAGAGGGCCTTAGTTCACATCCTTACTGCTCCACAGTGCAGCGATGGGACCCCTGCAAGTGATTCGATCTCTCAGTTTTCTCATATGTAGTGTGAAAGGAATATAAAGGCTGGGGACCCCAATTCATGATGCTAGAAGGAAAAAAAATTAAGCCAAAAGCTGTCATTCAAGAAGCTGCCTTTCCTTTTGCTCCTAAGCAAGAGCTGTAGATAAAAGGTTAAATATCCCTACAGGTAGCTAGCTACTCTGTTTTCACCTTTTTTTTTTTTTTTTTTTTTTGGAGACAGAGTCTTGCTCTGTTGCCAGGCTGGAATGCAGTGGTGTGATCTTGGCTCACTGCAGCCTCTGCCTCCCGGGCTCAAGCGATTCTAGTGCCCCAGCCTTCCAAGTAGCTGGGACTACAGGTGCACGCCACCACGCCCAGCTAATTTTTGTATTTTTAGTAGAGATGGGGTTTCACCATGTTGGCCAGGATGGTCTCGATTTCTTGACCTCATGATCCACCCGCCTCGGCCTCCCAAAGTGCTGGGATTGCAGGCATGAATCACCGTGCCCGGCCATCACCTTATCTTATGTAAAGTACTGATTCACCAAGTGCTGGATGATTACATGATTGACACTTTCCCTGCCTGCAACTTTTCCCTTGCAGCAGGTGGATTACACACTCTCCCTCTTTCCCCTCCAGCCCACTTTAAACATTAAAGCCCTCGGCATCATCTTTGGAGAAATGCACAGACCGCAGACTGTTTCTGTGATTCTGTGTTCTCTTCTTTCAGGCATGTCCTTAACCTTGGCAAAATAAACTGTCCCAGACACTTTTTGGGTTACAGTAGAGTGGGCTAAAAAGCCCTGCCCACCTTAGGGCCTCTATGGGGGTTAATTAAGCCAGTACATGTGGAGTACTTAGAAGAGTTAAGCAATGGCTTACTGTTTGGTATTGTTACTACTGATATGACATTTACAAAGACATCTCATTTTCATTCAGGTGCATTTTGATACAACTAGGTGTGCTTCAGATGCCACTTTTCCTTGTTTACCATGTTTCTATCGCATGATTGTCTCACTCAGGTGTTTTTAAAACCGTGTCACTTACCTTCCCGGTCCTTTCCCGCATCTCCAAGCCTGACCGGGATGTTCTTTTGCTTCTCTGTTTCACAGGATGCACACTGCTGTTTTATGAGACATATGGGAAGAATTCCATGGACCAGAGCAGTGCCCCTCGGTGTGCTCTGTTTGCAGAAGACAGCATAGTGCAGTCTGTTCCAGAACATCCCAAGAAAGAGAACGTGTTCTGCCTCAGCAACTCCTTTGGAGATGTCTACCTTTTCCAGGTACTGCTGGTACTTTGTAAGTGGAGGTAATAACTTATGTATTGCGGGTACAGTAGCTCATGTCTGTAATCCCAGCACTTTGGGAGACCGAGGTGGGTGGATCACCTGAGGTCACCAGTTCAAGACCAGCCCGGCCAACATGGTGAAACCCAGTCTTTACTAAAAATACAAAAAAAATTAGCTGGGTGTGGTGGCAGGCACCTGTAATCCCAGCTACTCAGGAGGCTGAGGCAGGAGAATCGCTTAAACCTGGGAGACGGAGGTTGTGGTGAGCTGAGATCATGCCATTGCACTCCAGCCTGAGCGACAGAGCAAAACTCCATCTTAAAAAAAATAGCTTATGCATTGCTAGAATAAGAAGGAACAGAAAAGGCAAAACTTGGAAATGAAATCGAATAAATGCTTAGGCTTTGGATTTGGCCTTAAGCAAGAGAAATTGGCCTCTGCTGACTGCCAAGGGCACTGGGTCATCACCAATGCAGTCATTCACACAGAGGGCATTTTTCAGGTGCCTCTGAAGTCCCAGGCTGTGGTCCAGGAGATGCTCATTGGGACACAAAGAGAAAAAATCATGATCCCTGTTCAGGAGTAGCTCGTGATCCAGTGAGTGCAATGGTCAAGATTCTCAGATTTGGGGAGTTTTTTAAATGAAGCTTGGAGAATATTGATGGGAGAGGCTTGGGTTCTTCCCATGAATCTCAGTGGATGTCAAAGATTTTCAGGAAAACCCTCACAGGCAAATGCTATGAGATCTCCTTTCCCTGTGGAAGTGGTTTTAGGATCTTAAGATTCAGGGTATCTACTGTTAAGACTTTTCGGTGACTTTTAGCCAATGAGATGTCACAGAACATGGTGGTGCTGAGCCATCGGCACTGGGCCAGGCTTCGGTTTGAATCCTGGCGCCTTTGTTAGTGTTGAGTTTGTAAGTGATCTTGGAGCATGTAGCAGACTTCTCTGAGCCTTGGGCCCTTTGACCAGTAGGATAATAATGGCTTACAGGATTGCTGTAAGAGTAAATAATCACGTGTGTGTTAAATGCTAATGAAATTGTAATTATGGTTATTAATATTAATTCAGAAGAGGTGAGACTGATAGCTGGGGAATGAAGTGTGCTTCTTAAATGCCTCCCAGTCTATACCCAGCATCTGACATAGACACAGTGTTGGCTGAAGGTTCCATCTGACTGGAAGTTTCATGGAAAGCCTCATAAAGCCTGGGTTTAGATCTCTCATAAAGATGGCCCTGGGCACCCTCTGAAGCCCTGCCGAGTAACTGTCCTGTAGGCTGACTGTGGGAGTCTGGAATGCTCTGAAGAGCTCCTCCTGGGACCAGCACTGGGTAAACTCCCTGGGCCTTTAGTTGTACTGCTTTCCCAAACTGACTTGACTAACTAGAGCCGGGGCCTGAGATTTGATTTTCATTTTCCTAACAGAAAGGTTACTTAAAGACTTCTATGATGCTTTAAAGCAAAGTAATCAATTTATGTTAGTCTGAAAAGTAGGGAAGTTTGAAAACAACAACAACAAAATCTTAGGTGAATTGTTTGTAAGCTTCTTAGTGGTAAGTGTGAAATGAACGTTTTATTTTGTGATTCAGGCAAAATGTCCTTAGTTTTAAGAGTTTTTCCCTCCTGTGATCCCAGCACTTTGGAAGCTGAGGCAGGAAGAAGGCTTGAGACCAGGAGTTTGAAATCACCTTGGTCAACATAGCGAGGCCCCCATCTCTTCAAAAAAAATAAAAAAAATTAGTGGGTCATGGTGGTGTGCGCCTGTGGTCCCAGCTACCTGGGAGGCTGAGGTGGGAGGATCGTTTGAGCTCAGGAGGTCAAGGTTGCAGTAAGCTATGATTGTGCCACTGACACAGGCCAAGAGACAGAGTGAGACCTGTCTCAGAAACAGTAACAGTAACAGTTTTCCCAGGTGGTCCTATTTTGTGATCCCAGAGGCCACTTGAGGTTTGACCCTGTGACTCCACTGTGTGTGATTATTTCTGGACATCAAGAGAACTGAAAGTACTTTCCAGTCTGCTTAGAATCGTACCTGTTTGCCTGCTGTGCTTCATTCAAACTTCGTTGTTTTTAAAATATTTTTTTCTTAAAAAAAATTTATCATCATTATTTGAGATGGAGTCTTGCTCTATTGCCCAGGCTGGAGTACAGTGATGCGATCTCAGCTCACTGCAACCTCCACCTCCTGTGTTCAAGCAATTCTTGAATTCCTGCCTCAGCTTCCCAAGTAGCTGGGATTATAGGTGCCTGCCACCACAACTGGCTAATTTTTTTTTCTTTGTGTGTTTTTAGTAGAGATGGGGTTTTACCATGTTGGCCAGGCTGGTTTTGAACCCTGACCTAAGTGATCTGCTCGCCTTGGCCTTCCAAAGTGTTAGGATTACAGGCATGCGCCACCACACTGGGCCTATTATTATTTTTTAATTGACGTGGGGACTCACTATGTTCCCTAGGCTGGTTTTGAACTCCTGGGCTCAAAAGTCCTGGGGTTACAGGTGTGAGCCACTGTGCCCAGCCAAAATTAAATAGTTTTCTTTTATAAAAATAATATATCATCTTTGCGTTAGAAGTCATTGAAAAGTAGAGAAAGAAGGAAACTTCCTGTCTTCAAAGACAATAGCATTATTTTGTTTCCCCTCAATATACTTTTATTTATACTTTTTTGTATTGAGGCCATACTGTAGATGTAATTTTATATCCAGGTTTCAAAATTTCATATTCTAGTCCTAATGTTTACTCATTCTGTTAAAATTCTGAAAACAAGCAACCTTTTATTTATTTGTTTATTTTGAGACAAAGTCTTGCTCTGTTGCCCAGGCTGGAGTGCAATGGTGTGCTCTCAGCTCACTGCAACCTCCGCCTCCTGGGTCAAGTGATTCTCCTGTCTCAGCCTCCCAAGTAGCTGGGATTTCAGGTGTGTACCACCACACCCACCTAATTTTTACATTTTATGTATTTATATGTATGTATGTATTTATTTATGAGACAGAGTCTCACTCTGTCACCTGGGTTGGAGTACAGTAGCACAATCTCAATTCATTGCAACCTCCACCTCCCATGACCGAGTGGTTCTCATGTCTCAGCCTCCCAAGTAGCTGGGATTATAGGTGCGTGCCACCATGCCTGGCTAATTTTTGTTCTTTTAGTAGACAGGGTTTCACCATGTTGGCCAGATTGGTCTCCAAGTCCTGACCTCAGGTGATCCGCTCATCTCGGCCTCCCAAAGTGCTGGGATTATAAGCATGAGCCACCGCGCCTGGCCAAGCATCCTTTTAGAGAGCGGCACAGTGTTTCTTGACTGTGTCTACCCTGTTGTCCTTATAGCTCCTGTGTTGTGGGCCAGTGCTTGTTTCTAGCTTTAGTTCCTGTCCTATTCAGGGCTCTAGGATGCTTTCTGCTCTGCTCCTGACTTTCTCTGAGTCCCTCTGAACCTGAGTTGAATGGTTGAATATGTTTTTGAAATTAACAGCTTTTCTGGAGTGCAAGTGCTCCTTGGGTTTACACTTCCAAGCCCAGCCTGCCATTTCGGAGGGCACGTTTGGGGTAAAATGATCTGAAACAGGTTTTCTCCCTCTCCACGTGCAGGCCACCAGCCAGACAGATCTAGAAAACTGGGTCACTGCCATACACTCTGCTTGTGCGTCCCTCTTTGCGAAGAAGCACGGGAAAGAGGACACAGTGCGGCTGCTGAAGAACCAGACCAAAAACCTGCTTCAGAAGATAGACATGGACAGCAAGATGAGGAAGATGGCAGAGTTGCAGCTCTCTGTGGTGAGCGACCCAAAGAACAGGAAAGCCATAGAGAACCAGGTATTGTTCATGTACACCTGCGTTTCCTTCCAGTGCTCACGTCGCTTGCGCAGTGACTTGCTGGTATTTCTTGGCTCACACGTTAGTGGTATTTCTTACACCCTGGAGGAAATAGTTTCTGTGGCTTTTCATTTTAGGTACTTAATGTTTGCCATGTTGTGACATGGGTGATATGATATGCTTTACAACCTTTGGTGGCTCCACGTATATACTGAAATATTTTGTGACCAAAACTTAATTTCTCATTTTTTTTTTTTTTTTTTTGAGATGGAGCCTCACTCTTATTGCCCAGGCTGGAGTGCAATGGTGCAATCTCAGCTCATCGAAACCTCTGCCTCCCGGGTTCAAGTGATTCTCCTACCTCAGCCTCCTGAGTAGCTGGGATTACAGGCACCTGCTACCAGGCCCGGCTAATTTTTCATGTTTTTAGTAATGATGGGGTTTCACTATGTTGGCCAGGCTAGTCTTAAACTCCTGACCTCAGGTGATCCACCTGCCTCTGCCTCCCAAAGTGCTGGGATTACAGGCGTGAGCCACTGCACCCAGTCCCAGAACTTAATTTCTAATTTGAATAGTGCCTTCTGGCCTAGTGGATTCACTCATATATTGTTGTTTTCTGGGGGAAAAAAAAAATCCCTGCAATAAAACCACTAGAAGGTTAGACAGGTAAGATTCTAATACGATGGCTTTGGAAAAAGTGGTTTGGTATAACATAGCTGTTTCTGTGTCTGTGGATTGCAGAAAACAAGTAATTTTTCTATTTCCAGCAGAGAAGCAGCTAATGAAATGCTTTCTTTTCTCTGCTCTGGTTCCACATTCACATAATAAATGGCTGGTTCCCATGCTGTTTGCACTTTAGAGAAGGGAGGCAGTTTGAAAATTTTTATTTCCCTTTGTTCAGACGACCTAAACGCTTAGACAAGTGTTAGTGGAATTTCTAGCCGCCCTATCTTAAGTCAGGTTTCCTAGGAGACAGACCTTGAGAGAGATTTAGATGTGAGAAGTTTTACTGGGAATGCTCTTAGGGACAACTCCAGCCTGGAGTGAGGGAGCAGGATCTGGGGACAAGTTCCATTGTGATGCAGCCTGTCCCACAGTGAGCTGTGGAGCTGGGAGGGCCATTCAGAGCTTGGAGGCAACAGGCCACCGTGTTCCTCTCAGGCCAGCAGGGCAAGGCAGTTCCCTTCAGCAGACATCACTTTCCCTGAGGGGATCTGTGCGAGCTGGAAAAAGGAAGGAATGCCTCTGTTTGGAGGGGGATCTGGGTGATGCACTGTAGAATCCGCAGCAGCTCCCCCAAAACCAACTGAGCAAATGTCAAATGACCTGGGAGTTTGAATGAGGAATGGGATGAAGATAGATAGTGGGTAGGTTCTTGAATTTTTCTTCCTTTAATTACTTATTACAGAGAAACCAGGTTCTTTAGAGAAAAAAAAATTTATGGTAACAGAACAATTTAGACATATTGTGACTTATTAGAAAGAAATTTTGCATATGGTGTTTTATTTAAATTGCAACTTACATCATATCTCTGTTTATGTCTGAATGTTTAACCTTGTTTGGAAATTTTTTCACCTGTGTATATATGAAAAATTCTGCATGAGGCTGGGCACGGTGACTGACGCCTAAAATCCCAGCACTTTGGAAGGCAGAGGCAGGCAGATCACCTGAGGTCAGGATTTCGAGACCAGCCTGGCCATCATGGTGAAACTCATTTCTACTACAAATACAAAAATTAGCTGGGCGTGGTGGTGGGTACCTGTAATCCCAGCTACTCAGGAGGCTGAGACAGGAGAATTGCTTGAACCTGAGAGAGATGGAGCTTGCAGTGAGCCGAGATTGTGCCATCATACTCTAGCCTGGGTACAGAATGAGACTCTGTCTCAAAAAAAAGAATTCGGCATGAGTAGGAAAAAATTTCTGTCTAGAAATAGGAAACTGATCAAAGGCATGCATTCACTGATACGTTGAGAATTTGGAACACTGCATCAATTGACGATAGCAAAATAACCAAATAATTCCCACCTCTGCCCCTCATTAATCTTCTGACTATGTCCGCCTTTGCTCATATCTGTTGTTGTCTTTCTTCCTTCCCAGTTCTTTCTTTTTTGCTTATTTTCCCCTCTGCAAATGCTGGTGTACCTAATAGATGCATTTGGCTTGAAGAAATAAAACTAATTATAAAATATGGACCCCGTTTCTAAGAAATTATCATTTAGTTGGAGAGCAAGCCTTATGAATATGAAACTAAAGGACATTCTAAAATGGTCTATTAGGTGACAGCTGGTGTAGTTATCAAATATGATGGGAGATCAGGGGGTTGAGGTTGTACTGTGATCCTGAGGAAATGAAGGGTCCCTGGATGGTGTTAAAACATTGTTAAGAGGCGTGAAGGATTTCCAGGCTGGAGGGGGTTGGGTGAGCATGGAGAGATAAGCATGAAGTGACAGAGTGGTGGCTTGGGGCTCTGGAGCACACTGGAGTCAGAGGCTCTGGCTGGGAAGTGATGAGAGCTGACAGTCAGGTTGGACAGGCAATGCAGCTGGTTCAGTCTGTGTCTCGGTCTGTAACAAAGTACCGTAAACCGGGTGGCTTATGAACAAGAGTAATTTATTTCTCAGAGTTCTGAAGGCTGAGAATTCCAAGAGACTGGCAGATTCAGTGTCTGGCGAGGCCCTGCTTCCTGGTTTCGTAGAAGCATCTTCTTACTGTATTCTCGCGTGACGGAAGGGGCAAGGGATCTTTCTGGGGCCCCTTTTATAAAGCCACTCACCCTTTTCATGAGGGCTCTGTCATTATGACTGTCCTGCGCAGTGGATTAAGCAGCGAAGGATGAAAGACACCGTAACTGAATGCTTGAATCACATGGTTTATTGGCATGCAAACAATTCTGAACAAAGATAAATGTTTTATCCGCATTCTCCCTACACACAACTCCTGTTTTTCACCCTGCTAGGAACAGATTGGGGATCTTAGATGAATAGGCACAGGTTTGGTCGCAGAGGTCCTCATGCATCTGGTAGTAGCTTCCTCTGGCGTCGAGGCTGGAATGCTGAGGCTGAGCGTCCAGCTGAGGAGACGGCAAGCCTGACTCCAGGTCCCTTTCTGAGTGGCAGCGGCTCGTCTGCACGAGTCTGTGTCTCAGCAGAGCAGGCTGAGCTGACTGAGGACTTCTCTTTTTATAGTCCCTGTATGGGTATCCACCTGTGTCTGGTTATCTTGAAGGTTGGCGCGCCCTAGCATGTGATGTCGTCCCAAACACAGTTGGTCTAAACAGATTTGGGCATTCTGGGCATTTTGGCAGACAGTTGCACTTACAGTAACTATGATAACATATTCACACTACACCTGTAAACTGCAGTTGTAACAATAACCTAATCACTGCCCCTTTTAAAAAGGCTCCATAGCCAGGCACTGTGGCTCAGGCCTGTAATCTCACCACTTTGGGAGGCCAAAGCAGGTGAATCATGAGATCCGGAGTTCGAGACCAGCCTGGCCAACATGGTGAAACCCCATCTCTACTAATAATACAAAAAAATTAGCTGGACTTAGTGGTGGGAGCCTGTAATCCCAGCTACTTGGGAGGCTGAGGCAGGAGAATTGCTTGAACCCAGGAGGCAGAGGTTGCAGTAAGCTGAGATTTCACCACTGCACTCCAGCCCAGGTGACGGTGAGACTATGTCAAAAAAAAAAAAAAAAAGTCCCATTTCCTAATACCATCACCTAAAGCAACGAGGTGGGCAGATCACGAGGTCAGGAGATCGAGACCATTCTGGCTAACATGGTGAAACCCTGTCTCTACTAAACATACAAAAAATTAGTCGGGCATGGTGTCATTGTGCCTATAGTGCCAGCTACTCGGGAGGCTGAGGCAGGAGAATCGCTTGAACCTGGGAGGCAGAGGTTGCAGTGAGTCGAGATTGTGCCACTGCACTCCAGTCTGGGTGACAGAGTGAATCTCTGTCTCAAAAAAAAAAGATTTCAATGTACGTATTTTGGAGGGACACATTCAGCCCATAGTGATCTTGTATGCAAGGCTTAGATGGTAAGGTTTATTTTATACTCTGCATTCAAGAGGAGGTATAGGTTTTTAAGATGAGGACAAAGCGTGATGACAGTATCTCTGGAAGATTAATCAGGTAGCAGCTTGGAGGACAGAGTGGGGCAAAAGGTGTCAGGCAGTGGAGGGCGCTGTGCTGGGTGTGCAGATATAAGGGCCTGGTCCCAAGTGACACAACAGTAGTTCAACAGTTGACATGGAAAATGTATACCGGGGTGCCTAATTTTCTGCAATTCTATAGAATCTTAAAGACAGTAACTTACATCCCTGAATGGAGCTGTTGCTCAACCAGGATATGCCATTATTTAAAGAGTACCTGCTGGCAAACTCCAAAATACAAAACAGTTTTAACAAGGAAGCTGAAACTGCCAGGAAGAATGCAGGTGATGGAAGGCGTTTGGGGTCTGAGAATAAAGCTGCTGACGTTGCTGGAGGGAGTGCTGTCCCCATGAGCCCCGCTTGCATCCTTTCAGGACCCACTCACACTAGGAGTTCGGCTCCCAGGGCCGTGCAGCTCTACCTCCCAGCTCTCTGTCTGTGTGGAATGTAGGGTGTCAGGCCATGGGAGAGGTGATGGGACAGATCAAAGAGCCTGAAGGAGACACAGTTTCCCCAGAGTTTTCTTTGTACCATGTCTCACCCCTGGTGCTGATTTTCCAGGATCCAGCAGCCACAGTCTGTCTGTCCTGAGATGCGACTTGTGGATTTGAGTGTCTCAGGGTGTTCAGAGCACCCTAGTCAAAAGTCTTATCCTGACCATAATTGAGAAAAATAGGGTTTTAACTTTTCCTGGCTCTCTTAAACCTAGGTATGCCTAGTGTTCCATTATTGGAATTATTTGTATCCTACTGCTCAGGGTCATCACAAAGGTCTGATTTAATTAATTAATTAATTAAATGAGATGGAGTTTCATTCTTGTTGCCTAGGCTGGAGTGTAGTG